CACATCGTGAACCCGCGTAGTCCTCCGCGAGCTACTACCGCAGACCCGCGATTCGGCCCGCGAATTCGCGGATAGCGCGCCCGCTGTTGTTGCGTGCACGCACACGCACGCGGCGCGCGTGTGGACCGTGCGCGTGCGATGTCCGATGGGTTGCCTAAACTTATAGGCGTTTCATCTCCGACCGAGGGGGAGGGGAAGGGAAATGACTGTCAGTGTCACCCCCTCCCGTCGCCCCTCCCCCCTTCTACTTTCAAAACTGGCTCTGGTGCGGGCGTGTGTTGGCGCGGGCGGGCGGGGGCGGGTCGACTAGTGCCAGGCCTGTTCCCTCCTTCCTTACGAAGGGGAGGGGGTACTGAGGCGCTGCGAGATCAAGTGCGCAAGTACTAGATCAAGTGCGCAAGTACTAGATAAAGTGCGCAGGTGCGCAACCGCGCTCAAACGGCCTGGCTCGTGCAGGCTGCGCGCGCGCAGCAGGCCGAACTCAGGGCCTGGCTCCTTATTTCGGCCGCGTATCTACGCGAATCTCTGTACCAAGTGTGCCTGTTCTTACATACCCGCATGTTGGGTTGCCTACCCACTGGCTGGCAGGCGCTGCGGGTGGTGGTTAGCGAAGGAGCGAGGCGAACTTGGCGTGAAATTAACGAAGGACTAAAATCGTGCGTTGCGCATGGTTCTCGGCATCGCAGGCACTTCCGAGTGGTGTCGTTGCAAACTCATCGACGTTTATGTGCATTCAGAATAGATCGGCGTTCTCACCCCTCGTAATAGTGCCCGGGAGACATGGGGTTGGTGGTGGGACCGTAGGTCCCCCCCCCCCCCTTTCCTCCCCTACCTGGATGCCCTCTCAAATTCGCATCGCTTCTCCCTTCCATAGCGACCCTAGCGTAAGGGCGCTGGAGGGGAGCCGTCTCGCCCTTCCCTCCGCCACCCGCTCCCCACAGCGCCTGCGCGTATGCAACCTATCAGGCTGGCTACGGCTACTGTTTTATGACACTTGTCAGTCCATTAGTCTGGTTGAGGGAATCACTGCAATGTCTTGGAATGTTATTTAATGTTAATCTTTTGTCCTTTGCAGAGCCAAGCGCAGAAGAGGGCCAATTCTCAAACTGTTACCCCTGCTAGAAAAAAATCAAAATCCTTTGATGTGATTGAGAAGATCCGTGAACTTGTAAGTAGTGCGCTTGATTTTCTTACCCTTGACGATTGCCTTAAACTTAAACTTACAGAATTCCTCTGATTTCAGGATCTAGAGTCGCTACTTCTAGCCGATAGAACGGGCGGGAAGGAACTGCTGCTGTGTTTCCGAGAAGCACAAGAAGAGTTTAAATCTGGGAATTCGGAGGACCCCCCCACCCTGAGTGATCGGCAGCGACTCAAACTGTCTCATATCCTGGCAGAATACTTGCTGACTCTAGACGACTGCCTTTCATACCACAACCATCCATTGGTTACAAAAAAAATTGTCAGTCTCTTCCCCTGGGAAACAGAGGTAAGGACAGACTATTTTTGTAATGGAAGGTAATTATTTTGTAACTATTAACAAGATTACTAATTAATACTATCTTTACAGAATGAGTACTACGTCGCTCCTAAAACTGAGAACAAAGCAGCAAACACATGCCAAGGGTAAACTGGTCTCTGCAATCAGGAATATTAACAGCAAGAGGAATCTGCTTGGACAAGTCAATGAACCCTCAACATCAGGTGGTGATAACAGCAGACAACTCTCAAATCAGACTACTTGTTTCCGGGCCATTGTTGCAATAGGTATGTGTTTTCATCTTGCCTGTTACCTTTATTTGTATATCTTACGCCAGTATCTGATTCATTTTTTTTATTTCAGCTGACACATCAGAACGTCAGGGAGCCAGGGCATGGCTGGTGCACGGAAGGACACCTTGGCCCAAAGTAATTGAGAACTGGATTTTGACTGCTCCACACCGTTTTCGGACGCATTTCATCACTAGTACATCAGGATTCGTCAATGAATATATAAATTCATTGCCAATTCTGAGCCATAAATCTGGACACCAATTGGTGGGTATTTACAGCGTTCGAGTATTACTTTCAATTTCAATTGTCAATAGGCAACATGGACATTTTAATAATTATTTGAATTTACAGCTTTTGGAAGACTTTAAGCTGCTGTACCCTGGGGCCTCGAGCAGACTGTATGACGTTTGGGAAATTTTCGCAGGACGTTAGCTCTTGCTAAGAAAGAGATCAAGGATCAAGAAGCTATTGCCATTCTCAAATTGGCCGAAAACAAGTCTCTACTCTCTACTCTCTACTCTGAAGTACTTGGATAATACAATGTTTTATATTGCTTATATACTGCTCTATTTTCAGAATAGAATTCAATATCTAAACGAAACTTTTGGTTTTCAGATGGTGTTGCAAGTGTAATTTTACACATTTTGGCGAATATTAAGTCGAACCATAGTATCCAGCAAGAAGGCAAACGAGTCAAAGTCTCTGCAGGGAAATGTAGAAATAGTTACTTGCTCACTGTCAAGGTAAAAATTATTTAACATGTTCATTAAAAATAATTCTAATAGGCACATATAATGATTGTTTTTTTTTTACTTTTCAGACAGCCAATGATATTACCAGAGCACTTGAGGAGAGAAGATCTGAGTTAATCGACGAAAACGGTGGTGGTCAACCTTTAATTGTTTTAGTCTGTTCCTCCCCAGACAATGTCCGGTCTGCTCATGTCAGCGTGGCATCACTAAGGTATGACCTCGATAGTGTGTTGGAGGCTTTGGATGTTTGTTTTAAACTGTATCAATCGCTCCACTGTAAATACCCACCTGAAAGTAAACATATCTGGACTGTTCTTCAACGTGGAATTTATAAAATTAACTTAAAGGGCGACACCAATATTTTGCACAGCTGGATCAAACTTTATGATCTGTCTGCCTAAATTATTTGCCGGTTGTTTATCTGGTACTGAACTAACGTTCTAATTTGTAATACATTTTCAAATAGTTGTCCCTATTCTTCAAAATGTTGTATTGTTGCTTGTGCAACCGTGAATTTAATGAGGCCGAAGAACTAATGACCCATCTTGTATTCAATCACCATATTGTTGTAAATAACTGCTCTCTGAGGTGTGGTCAGCCAGGTGGATGTGCAAACCAAACGTTTTCACGCTTGTATGCACTTAAAGCTCATTTGAAAAAACATCACGCT